CTTCTCACATAGCCGAGAAATTTGAACTGAACAATGATTGTGCTCTCACGGGTTGCAATGGTGAAGCTAACTTTTGGCGGGTCAGCCAAATTATTGCCGCGGGTCATAGGTTGCCGACCACTGGTATACAGTGTTAAGGTAGAGAAAATAACATAAAACATATTACTTTAACAACTTGATATTCATTTAGGATGTTCTGGAGGTTACACAAACGAAAGAAAGTATTTTTAATCTGAACATGAAAATCAACTTGCACTTAGACTAGTATGAGTCAGACTCTGACACCATAAATTCCTAGACAATTCTTTAGAAAGAATATTTAGTTAAAATATCTGATTTTTCTGTGTGCTATAGACATGTTTACCCAAAGCCTGCCAAATTTTGTGAAGATACTCTTATTACATTAAAAGTTATAGTATCATGGTTACATAGTGGTTGCAAGGTTGGCCAAAGTAACGAAGCCCAAATAGAGAGGGTTACCAAAGGGTGCCAAAATATATACAAGGAATTTATCTAAATTATAATTAAAGGACAATCTTTTTTTTATGGATCTTAAAAGCACTAATTTTCAGAAGTTCTTAAGAGTCTCGATATTGATATCATTATGTTCATTTATGTGTAGTAAAAATGTATTTATCTTCTCTTTTTTTAATCTAAGTAATTTAAATTTTAATATCTTAAATTTGGTTTAATCACTTAAAATGTGTTTATAACAGGTCATGCCACTGTTGTATACAGTAAACTCACTTTGAGTAGTATTGATTTTTAAAATATAAGGAATATGTAGTCAGTGGTAATTTTGCACAGGTTGCAAATTTGAAGTTTATGTGAGACTTAAAGAAATATAGTCAAGTTCACAGATGTAAGGAACATTTATTAATAATTCATAAAATGATGATTTTAAAATGAATTTCTTAGTTGTTAAATTATACATAGTTTGTACTTTAATTTTAGTCTGCAGTTCTGTACAACATATTTATTTTAACCTACAGATAATTTTAGAAGTACTTACAGAAAACCTGAACATTGTTTCATTTCTAACTCCTTACTGTGGGATTACAACCTCTTGCTTGGTCTAACAGTAGCTTTTATAATCGAACATCTGAAATAATCATTCATTGTCATACACTATTATAAGTTTAGTTCCGCTGGTGAAACCATATATCTTTTGCAGGATAACACGCATTGCATCGGATGAGCCTTCTGTAAAGGAGTTCCCTCAGTGTGATAACATTTTTGATCTTCAAATGTTTTAGTGTTATGTTCACTTGTTTTAATCACTGTTTCAAAGCTTGATATCAGATTTATCAAAGCCTTCATTCAACCTAATTGAGAGGTGTCAATCGTGTATTAAATTATTATGCTCTGGTTGCTTAGCACACATAATTAAATGTGATAATTGATTCTTCATAATCAAGTTGATGATTACTTCTTCACTTGTATTTAACCAAATTGATTATTTTAAACCACTAACCAGATATATGCTGTCCTTAGCCAAGCTTTGAAGGTGACTGTGCTGGTCATATTGTTACCCTTCCACTTGACCATGTGTGTCTCTAGATTGTTATATAAATACACACTTTATGTAAGACTATTGCACATTTAATTTTTTTTCTAATATCTTGATTATCTAGAATAACTTTGAGATTATTTTTATGAACTTTTGGAATAAATATAGATTTTGTTAAAAGAGTTGGCACTTTTGCATTAAAATCCAGATAAAAGTTAGATAAATAACTATCTCTTGAAATGATAGGAAGCTAAAACTAATTAGAAACTTCATTGTCATAACAAGAAATTTGTGATTGTTGGAGTTCTTGATGTTTTAAGCCCTGTATAGTTGTAAAGTCACCTTGTGAACAAGGTTCTCAAGTTAGATGTAAAGTTTAGAAAAGAAAATAGCAAAATGAAGCCCTTTTTTATACAAGAGAGGTTTGAGTTTCAGTAAGAAACTGTGAAGATTTACTATGTACAGTAATTATTTCTCTTTAAATCTGTGTGACTCAACTTGTTGTTAAATTTACTTATAGAAATGTACTTATTTCAGAATTTATATTATTTCACTTTGGTTTCAGAAGTCCTATTGGTGCTCAACAAAGGTGTTGTTAAGATATAGCTTTTGTCTGTCATAATTATTTCAATCAGACAGAGGAAGTCAAAGATTTTCAGTTAAGAGTTTTTGTTGCTTTGGGTGAATAATATCTTAATGTAGTCACAAATTTGAAATTATATAATAATTAAAGAATTTTAATATTACTAATCAAAACTTGTCAAAATATTGTGTATTAATACTATATTATCTATATGTATTGTTACTTGAAATAAGTAGAGAAAGGATTACTTTGCATGTATTTATATATATGGGATTTGTGTGGCTTTAACACTCAGCTGATAATAGCTCTTGATTTTAACTACTGATTCTGGTTTGTGAATTTGACCTTGTTAGCATACACTGGTGACCTCTAATTTGTTGCGTAGAAAACTCAGTGTCTTGTAAAGATATACAATTAAGCATTTACTGTGAATTTCAAAATATTTTCAGTTATTGTGAGTAATTCTATTGTTTTTTATTTGAAAAGCTTATATTTACAAAGCAATGTTTCTAGCTTATGCAACCAAATTACATGTTTAATTTTAGGACAATATAACTAATTAGTTTATTTGTCAACCAGCAGAACATGTAAGATCAAGCAATGCCCAAGTTTAGGGTCTGTGTTCCTGTGAATAACATGAAATTATGAAGAAATGTTAACTGTCCCAAGTTTAAGTGTGAAACTTAACAATGCTTCACACAATCCTTTGTAACTATACAGGACAAGGTTTCTCATTACTCAGCAGAAGTATTGCTTTGTATCTTATTTCTTTTCATTGATTAGTATTTTGTTCTGAATGTCCCTTTTTATCATATGTTGTTTTAGCTGGAATTCCATTTTTTGTGTGTTTTACATCACTTGCTTTTATTCTATTTGTTCATTGTCAGAGGGTTTTTTTTCTCTCTTTTTGAGTTGCCAGGTAGTTTACTCTGTTAATATCTTATAATACAATGGAAATTACCACATTACAAACTAAAGACAAAACCAGACATCACATGTACTTTCTATCTCAGTAATCCCTTAAAATCTCATAACATTTCCGACTAGAAAGTTTCTTTTTATTGATTCTTGTTTTGCTTTTCCACTTAAAGGTCCTTGTCAATTATTAATAAAACTTGTGAGATTCACTGTTTATCAAACATTTTAAGTCGGAATCTTTCACCTTTTCTAGTATAGATTTACTTTCTGCTGGGGTAACTGTTTAGTATTAGTGATGTTATTCTTTAGAGTTTATTTCTGAGTAAGTGGTTTCTCAATTTTTGACTAACATATGGCAGTTTAATGATCTTGTTAGACTCTTTGTGACATTTGTCTTAATATCCTGTCTCCCCAACAATTTAAAATTTTCATTTTGACATATAATTTCCATAACTGTAGTATGTTGCCTAACCAACTTTTCTAGTTTTTTATGTATTTGAAAGCAGTTAGATATTTAGAAATGACTACCATATTTCAAGTCAAAAACCCTTGGTGTGATTTATCTCTTGACTTCTTTGAAAATCTAATTAGTCTTTTGCATGCAAGATACTTGCATATTACAAAGAATGGATTCTCCTCTGTGGAATGTTTTGCATTCCTTTATGTATTTTTGCATTTTTATATACATATTTTATTTTAGATGTGAGTTTTTCCCATTAAATGTACAAAAATATACCTTACAACCTTTCATACAGTGTCAAGAAAATCAATTTTGTTGTGTTTATGCAGATTTATTAGCAGTATAACATTCTAAATACACTTCAGGTAACTACCTATTTCTTTGAGTAACTATCTGATTTTGTATTGGTACTGTTTTGAATTTCAAGCTTTATGTTTCATTTTTATCTTTGTTAACATATATAAACACCTACTTATTTGAATATGTTAAAATTCATCAAAAATAAATGGTAATTTTTTTTCATAACAAACTTTAGTTATTTTTAGTTTTTGCTACTGTGTATGTAACAACATACCTCCCTGTTACTAGATCAAATGAAATTATTATTCTGAAAAAAAAATATTTTTATGGAATAAAGATCTGTAGGTACAAGTTTCATATTATATATTTTTTGAAATGTATCAAAAAACGTATAAAGATATTTACTAGTAGTTGTGTAATAACATCAATCAATGATGTTTAAATATGATGTTTTGTTTAACCAAATTATTTCTGTTTAACATTATATATCTATGTAAGCCCACACTTAAATTTGTAGTGTACATTTTATAACTGATTGAAGCATTTATGTTTGTGTAATAAATATTTGAATAAATAAATGTGTAATAAATTTGAAAACTTTATTTGTAATTGCTCTTGTTTTGAAAAAAAGAAACTGATGGAGGAAAGTTGTCTGTAAGAGAAAAAGAAAATACCAATTCTGAACTCATCAAATAGAATACCATTTAATATTCTCTTTAATTATGTCTCCACAGAAAGACATACTGTTTTTATATTGTTTCTTCTTCCAAAGACATTTCAATTAATGACCATTCCTTCATTTTTATGTTGATTGACTTGAAACTTGGTAAGGAAGGGGGTTATACTTTCATACATTTTGCATTATACATTGTTGGAAGGTATATTCAGTTGTACAAAGGGAAAATTTTTATCCCTTAAAAAAATCTGTTGGAAATTATAAAAAGCATAAGTAAAATATAATGAGTGTTTTAAATCACAATATTATACAATAATGTTTCTCATCACTATACTGTGGATATCCTATTGTTGGTATATTTTTTTAAGGATAATGAGCATTACACACCAGATTGAAAAAAGTTAAAACCTACCAGAAATCTAATAAAGGTCTGCTGTCAAAAAATACGAAAATCTACAATTCCAGTAAATTTGCAGATATACATTAAAGGTTGGTTTTTACAATGAATCGATTTATTTAAAAAATTTAGTTATTTACTAATAGTTCAGTTTAAATTCCTATAAATTTCTTAATGCTTCAAGTGTATCAACGTTCTTAATTTTTTGAGATAAATAATAAATTTAACTTATTAAAGCTAAGGTTTTTCATGACAAGTACCACGTGAAATTTTGTCACCTTATATCATGGGCCAGGCATAACCTAGTGTTAGTGTGCCTGAGAGTTCATGGTTTTCTCAAAAATGCTCTGCACACTTTGGAGTATGGGTGCACTTGTAGATTTATCACCAAATACCAGTATTCGGTCAGAGAAGAATTGGCAGCTGATTTGCCTTTATTGCATCAGTTCAAAATAAACCTTGTATAGCTTTGCTCAAAAATTTTGACACAAACAAAACTTAACTTTATCCTAAATGTTTGTTACGTCTCCAGTCGTTACTTAATTTTCCGTAACTTTGTTCCGACGAAACTTTAGCGACACAAGTCCTTTCTTAATAAAACTGGTTTATTCTTTCTGAATACACTTAATTTCAACAGTCGCACTATAACAACAAACGTCTCACATGCTCAACTTCAACAATACTCTCTGACTGCAGTTCAATTACTCACTGTCCTCGTCATGCTGTGACCGTCTTTTATATATATATACAAGACTACACTATATCTGGAAAGATCACGAGATTTAAGAAAAAGACGTGGCGTGATACTAGTCACGTGACCTCGATGTCGTAATACTGCCCCTTCCTTAGTATTGTTTGTCCCGAACAATAGCCACTTACATAAAACCAATAACAATTAACAATAACTTGATTAAATGTACAGAATTTACAAACAAAATTACAATTCAACAAAATCTCTTAATTTTACGGGACATATCTTCTTCCGTACTGATCTCCGTCTCGTTGGCTTCTGCTTCATGTGGGGTTCATCTGCTTCATCAGGAAATGCCCTATCGTCGGTAACCGTCACACCAGTGGTAGTAACTTCATCAAGAGCTTCACCATTTCCCTTTTCAAAACTGAGTAGAGTTTCTTCTTCGACAGTGGCTTTTTCAGATGACACTTCTTCAGCAGCGTCATTTGTTCCTTTGTTCACTTCGTCCCAACTGAAATGTCATGGACCGTGATAATGCCAAAACCTGTTGGCATGCACCACTTTTGGCTTACCTCGCTGACCACATTTTAATCAGAAAGTCACGTCTGAGAGACGACCCACTATGTCATATGGGCCTTCCCATGGAGAAGACAACTTAGGAGACTTCCCTTTGGTCTTCCTGGGATTATACAACCACACCTTGTCTCCTGGTTCAAAGCTGACTTCAGTAGGTCTCTTATCATAACATAACTTCATCGAATCAGCAGACGTTTTCAAGTTTGAACGCACTTGATGGTGAATATCATCTATCTATTCTGATAACACTTTCACAAACTCTGACACATTTTCAGGCAACTCTTCATAAGGTGGGCGTCCTGTTAACAGATCCACTGGCAACCGAAGTTCCCGACCAAACATCAACTTTGCTGGAGTGTATCCAGTGGTTTTGTGCTCTGCTGTCCTATAGGCCATCAACAGTGGAGGTAGTAAGACATCCCAGTTATCTTGGTGGCTATTACAAAACTTTGCCAATTCCTGTCCAAGTGTCCAGTTGTACTTTTCTACCATCCCATCAGACTGTGGGTGAAGTGGCGTTGTCCTGGTCTTTCGGATGCCAAACAACTTGCAGCATTCTTGGAACACAGCTGATTCAAAGTTACTGCCTTGATCCGAATGCAGTTCGTATGGCATACCAAATCCGAAGAAGAAATCACTAATAGCCAAAGCTACAGTTGTAGCTTCCTGATTTGGTATTGCATATGCCTCAGGCCATCTTGGTGAAATAATCCTCACCACACAAATGTACTTGTTTCCAGAGGACCAGCAATGTCGACAGCTACTATTTACATTGGTGCACCAACTTCATATAACTTCATTGGAGCACGTCCCTTATGCTTGGGTCCCCTTTTAGCACAACATATACTGCATGTTCCGCACCATTGTTCCACATCTTGTCTCATACCTATCCAGTAAAATCTGTGTCTTAGGTGACTCAATGTTTTCTTAACTCCGAGATGTCCTCCTGTTACAGTATCACGGGATTGACGCAGCACAACTTCCCGTAACTTTCTCGGTATAACCGTTTGCCAGGTCGTCACGTTCCCATCAGCAGTTTCCCATCTCCGGAGAAGAATACCATCTTCAAGCCTCAACTGGTCCCATTGTGTCCAATAGTTCTTTGTCACAGGGCTTAGACTAGACACCTTCTCCCAAGCAGGGTGCAAAACACTTGCTTTTAGAAAATAAATTATTGGCTTCAAATCTTGGTCTTCTCCTGTTCTGCTTTGATATCTATATTTGGTTCCACTTCACCATCATCAACTCTTTCAGTTGGCTTAACTTCAGCTTGATGACACCTTGTTAGTTCAGCCTCTCTTTTGTAGCAATGTCTACAGTCATTTTTGCAGGGTCTTGGACTCAGTCCATCAGCATTACCATGAGATTTTCCCTTTCTGTATTCAATATTATAATTATACTGGTCTATTTTTCCAATCCAACGTGCTAGTTGTCTCTCTGGGTTCTTTAGTGATCTTAACCAGCGTAATGCAGCATGGTCTATCCTGATGGTAAACCTTGCACCATAGAGGTAAGGATGGAAATATGTCAGACTCTTTACTAAAGCAAGGAGTTCCCTCCGTGTTACACAGTTGTTCCTCTCTGGTCTACTCAACACCCTACTGAAGTAGGACCGGAATTGGAGGAGTGTTGTCTCAGAAAGTGGGCGAAAACGAACATGTGGTACATTACTAGCATCACAATCCAGTATGTATGGCAGTGAGGGATCTGGAAGTACTTTAAAAGTGGAGTGGAGGCCAATTTTTCCTTCAACGTCCTGAAAGAACACTGACAAGAAACTGTCCAT